TGAAGCTCAAAGGAGAACTAACCAGCTAATCTGCCCTGGTGAGCCAACCAAAGATTCCTACATGGTGAAACCTGAAGACTCCTATGTGGAGTTTCCCTGGAGGTTCCTACGAAGAATCAGTTCCTAGAGTCCTTCGTGTATCCCCTTGTTCTCTGCAGTGAGCTGGAAGCTCAACTCAAGGATTGCCACGCTAGCCTGAAGCTAGAGGCCTAGCCCCTCGAGATCTCTGTTATCCAGCCATTACCCGTTCCGTGCACGGACCCCAGTGAATCAGCCTCCTGCCTGAACTGTTCCTTTCCCACTACTCATGTTTGAGCCACAATAAACTCTTTTGGACTTTTACCCTGTTTCTCCGTGAGTGTTTCTGCATCTTGGGCTAGCACTAATACCCATCATGACAGTTTCTGTCCTAGACAATGTATAAAAAGATGCCCTTGAGAATGATCAGATGCAGCAGGTGCAGATTCCAGATCAGCTGGAGACAGTAGAGGAGGAGGAGGCAAAAGCTCACTTCTTCCAAGAGGTCCAAATCTATTTAAGGACTAACATGCCGCTACATTCAGGTGTTTGCCAAAGCTAACAGAATCGGGTAAGTTAATGAACATACCTCAGTCAGCAAACATCAACAGCTAACATATTTCCAGCCAAACACATATCCTTTGAAAGCCAAATAATAACATGGTGTGTGTGTTTGTGTCTGTACACCTGCAAATATGTATATGTCTAGGTTATAAAACCCTGAAAAGAATTCAAGCAAGAAAAGTTAGGCAAAGTAGAACAGTTTTAGGTTAAGCAGGGTTTTTTCTTTACAAAACAAAATAGTGGTTAAATTAAATAGATGCTATTTGTGTAGATGACACAAAAAATGTGGCTAATTATTATTCTACTTAGCAAGACTTCATAACCCAAGAAGAAATATGTTACTTTAGCCACTTTAAGTTAATCAAAAACAAAAGCAATGAGATTTAAAGATTGAATTAAAACTAAAGACTAAATTACAATTACCAATTTAATGGACTCACTTGATGCATTAGTCTGAGACATATTGCTATTGTTATGATTGTAATATGCATGATATCCAAAGATAGAGATAAAGATAAAGTTAAATTTGAAATTTGACTCTAAGTATTTTGTTGAAAAATGAGAGTTTGATAAATATTTGAATTGATCTGATCTGTTTGTCAAAGTTCCTTTGATCAATAGACAGCAGTGACCTGGAATGATAAAAAATTCAATGTTAAAAAAACAAAAGCTTTGATGTAGTTAAGCTACTTTTGTCATTTTGTTGTTACTTAGTTTGCTGCATTTCTCTGGTGGGTAGCTTCAGTGTGGTCAGAGATTAGAGTAAATCCCATACATACAAGTCTGAAGTAAGTCCCGAGTACCAGCACTCAAGTCTCAAGCAAGTCCCGAGTCAGGTTCCATCAAGCCAGCTCTAGCTTCTTGCCACTGGATTTACAATTTCAAATAGATGTGTACATTTAAGCTAAATAAAACAAATCACCAACAACAAAACTGCTAACATTATGACACTAGTTTAGAAGTATCTTGTCAGCAGCTTAACCAAGTAGGGAAAAAAAGAAAAATTCAGAACGTCACACACCTTTCTTTATTTGCTGTCCTAAAAAGGTGGATGAAATTCAATGTAGTGCCTGCACTCTCAGTCATTTTAACATTGCAGATTTTACAGGTAGCTCCTTTTTTATGTTGTGTTGTCATGTAATCTTTGTAGCAACAAAGTACTGATAACACACTAGTTTTAGTGCCAGATTGAGGAATGTCAAATCAAAACACATACCAAAGAGATACCTGTTTCTCATTTCAACCGGAACCATCTGAATCTTACCAACTAGAGCAATCGCCACAGCCTGACACAGCATGTTTGCTTAACACATGACTGACAGGTTAAAGTACAGAGAGTAATTTCACAATTTGTTGGAATGTGGGTAGACACCATTACTCGGTGTTAGATCTCGGACATTTGTATTAACTTATGAAGATGCAGCTGAAACTTTGGTGAGTCCTGCTGTTAAATAATTTCATTTAAACATGGCTGAGAGTCTTCTTGAAAGTTTTCTGAGCTGCCATGTTTGTTCAGAGACTCTAAGGGATCCTGTGTCTCTGAGCTGCAACCACAGCTTCTGTTCAAGCTGCCTGACGAAATTATGGGAACAAACTGCAAACAAGAACTGTCCTACCTGTAAAAGAAGACATTCCATGGATTTTCCACCAGTAAACGTCACACTAAAAGAACTGGCTGTTTCTTTTGCTGAAAGATATACGTCTGGATCATCTAAGACAGAAAGAGGAGAAAAGCAGCTGATGGTGGTCTGCAGTAAACATCAAGAAGACCCTAAACTGTTCTGTAAGGACGAGCAGAGAGCTGTGTGTCCTGTCTGTGAGTTTTCTCTCCACCAGAGTCACAAAGTGGTTCCTGTAGAAGAAGCAGTCAGTGAGCTGAAGGAGCAGCTAAAATCTGACTTAAAATCTCTGCAGGACACAAGAAACAAACACAAACAGGTGGAGAAAACATATAAAGATGTGATTGAACACTCTAAGAAGCAGCTGTTGTCCACAGAGAGACAGATCAGAGCAGAGTTCAACAAGCTCCATCAGTTCCTGAAAGAGGAAGAGGAGTCCAGACTGGTAGCTCTGAGGGAGGAAGAGGAGCAGAAGGGGAAGACTATCAGCAGAGAGATGAAGAGGATTCAGGAGCAGATCTCCTCTCTGTCAGACAGTATCTCTGCTGTTGAAGAAGACCTGCAGAAAGACCAGGTGTCGTTCCTCAGCAGTTATAAAGCCACTCAGAGCAGAGCCAGAGCCCAGAGCTCACTGTCAGATCCACAGCTGGTCTCAGGAGCTCTGATAGATGTGGCCAAACACCTGGGCAACCTGTCCTTCAGAGTCTGGGAGAAGATGAAGGACAAGGTCCACTTCAGTCCTGTCATTCTGGACCCAAACACTGCACACTCCTGTCTACATCTCTCCGAGGATCTTACTAATGTGAGACAAGGAGACACATGGCAGCATCTTCCTGAAAATCCAGAGAGAAACACTAAATATGCTTCTGTTTTTGGTTATGAAGACTTCAGCTCAGGGAAACACAGCTGGGAGGTGGAGGTTGGAGATCATCCTGACTGGAATGTTGGTTTGGTTAAAGAGTCTGTTGACAGGAAGGGAGAGACAAATGCTTTACCAGAATATGGAATGTGGTGTTTAGCCCATCGTAATGGAAAATACTCTAATGGTCTCGGCAAGACTGTCACAGTGAGGAAGAGTCTGCAGAAGATCAGGGTCCAGTTTGACAGTGATAGAGGAAAGGTGTCCTTCTACAACCCTGAAGACAAATCTCACATCTATACTCACAAAGACATTTTTACTAAAAAACTCTTCCCATATTTCAGTTTGGGAGAAGCTGGTGATGCCAAAACATCTGAAATCAAAATCACTAAACGCAAAATTTCTTTTATATTTTCTGACTAATTTTTTTTATTGACAACTATTGCTAGAAATATGGAGCAGACCATCTGTATTACTCAAACAGCCAAGATAGCATGTGACCTTGGATCCTTTTGCAAGCACTTCTTTTTAGTACAGCTGGTGCTTGAGTATATCATTAACTGTTATTGCTGTTGTAATAAATTTGCAATGTAGCTACATTTCTGTTTTTTTCCCTGAATATTCAAATAAATCATCTCAAATTGGCAACTACTTAAATACAACAAACACAATAATTTTTTACATATGTATTAACCCAGGCATCAGGGGTAGGGTACCAACTGCCTGATAGAATACAGGCCAAATGTATATAACTGAAATCAGTAAAGACACATTAGCCAAAGCTTAAATGTGTAAACAAAAGTGCTGAGGAAATAGGAATACCATTAAGGAAGGAAATCTGACCCAGATGCATTATGCAAGCCATTGTTTGGCCCCAATACCGATATCCGATACCTGGCTTTACAGTATTGGCCGATACCGCTTAAATACTGATACCATCTGTTTGAAATTAATGTGTTTGAGTACGTATATATGAAAAACTGCCTACTACTTGGATGTAAAATAATTACCATCATGGCTTTGTCAAGCTGCTGCCTACCTTTGTGAAGCAGGAAAAAGACTAATACAAAGAGAATCCAGTAGAACTTTTTATTGCCTACCTGGAATGGGTGACAATAGTTGAATAAACTTTTAGCTCTCAAAATGGCATTAATGCCCTATTTGTTGCTTCGCCTGATACTGGCATCCGTGCAAGACTACTTATTACCAGTCCATTTAGCGTAAGGACCTCCTGACATTTATCGCTTACCATAGGCATAGCCAACAGTCCCACTCCCATCTCATCATAACTTGACACTTGGGCTGTTCATGAATGTACATTCTTCTGCATTCTCAGCTTCAGCACTGCTCTAATTGCCAAGAACGCAAGACAGAGAATGGACAAAATTCCCAGGTGCTGTTCTCTTCCCGGCCTCTTTACTGAGCATGCATCTGAGCAGACTTGTGTGTTCTTAAGACTGACCGTTGTCCCAACATGCACCGGGTTCCTGGGGAAAGCTCAAAGAGCACAGAGTGTTACGTTAAAAGTTACCTTTTCTGCTGCTGTTGTTCTACTAAAGCAGGCGTGGGCAATTCCAGTTCTTGAGGGCTGGTGTCCTGCAACCTTTAGATGTGCCTTTTGTTCAACACACCTGAATCAAGTAATTAGGTGATTGAGAAGACTCTGGAGGAACTGTATGCACACTAAATAGATCATTCAGCCGTTTGATTCGGGTGTGAACCAAGGATGGATGTAAAGGCTGCAGGATACCGGCCCCCAGGAACTGGATTTGCCCACCTCTTTACTAAAGTATGTTTCAGATCGTTCAAGGTAAGAACATTATACGTTTAAGCTTCACTATATGACACATTTATTGAGTTAGAGTGGAGCTTTAACAATATTTCTGATGTAGAGAGGACTGTGGCAACCAGCGGATCTCTGAAATAAAGCACAGCCTTTTTTTCTTTGGTACAATGTTAATTTTATTTATGTTTATCTGAGTGACTGTTGTTGTGTTATTAACTAAATACTTTTTAAAATAACTTTTTAAATGTCTGGTTTTGTGGCATTAAAAGACCTGAAGCAAAGGAGTTATATGCACATTTCCATATAAGTTTGACGGTTTACGGTTTTACTTGGAAAAGGCAAAGGGTCAATTTTTTTTTTTTTATATCCAAAGCAAATCTGTCATCATTCAGAGCTCTGCTTTTTTGGAGTGCTTGACCCAAAAACATCACTCCATTTCTACTAAACAGCTTTCCCCTCACCCCACTTTATTTTACTATCCTCTGTAGGGGTTTTCCTCCTTTTCCAGCCTCCAATTCTCCACCAGTGTCAGACTACAGGGGAAAAGACTTCTCTAAACTAGATCTACCTGCTTATGCAGAACAACTGCATTCAGCATGAATGTCCTCTGCCAGGTTCAGAGAAAAATACTTAATTTATTCATTTCGATAAAACTCTGCTGTTGAAAATCTTTCCTTGTATTTCTGCATTGACACAGATTTGAAACAGTGAAAATAAATATTAAGGAATTCATATACCTAAAAATGTTAAAGCAGGAAACCTTAAAATTATTAATGAAAGACTTGAAGAAGTTACAAAAATATTGAATCACTGACAGACAGACTTCAAAGGAGTCAAAATCTGAGGATTTATCAGTTATTTTTTATATGTTAGTATAGATAACATCATAAAAGCTTACATGATGATTCATCTGGAAAAACAAAACATGCTCTGTTAAAAATCAGTGATATGTTTAAAGTTATAATGAAGGAGGCCTAAAAACAATAGACAATAGACAAAAACAAGTCTATTGGAGTTTTTATAAAAGCTTTTCTGTCTAAAGTTGATTCTATATGATTTCCCCAAAAACATTTCTGATAAAGTGGGATGTTAAGAAATGTTAAATTATGACCATATGAGATGTCCAAATTTTCAGGTAAAACGTCTGAATATCATATCATATCCTTTATTATTGGAAGATGGTGTTCACTCACAATGTTATGCCACTGGCTCCACCTTGTTGAACAATAGAATTACAGCAGTGAATAGAAAAATGTTATCATCCAAAGTAGGTAAAAGAGAATCATTTTGATTTAAGATATATAAGATACAGTGTTTTTTAAGATGATCAGATTTAGAAATAATTCAACATTCAAAGCTCATTAAATGAAAATAACAAGGTCTGAACAAAAAAGCTAAATGAATATCTCATATTATATATGCCCATAAAAGAACTTAATTCAATTCATTTTAATTACAGAAAATATAAAAATAAGTATTAAAGTGATATTCAAAGGGAAACTATTTAATAGTTCTGTTTGAAATATGAATATAAAACATAGTGATATCAGGAAAACAAAGAAAAATATCATGCTAATGAAAAATCAAAAGAAATAACATTCAAAAACTGAATGTTTGTTATTCAGAAAGAGATTGAGGTTGAATTTGTGTTTTTTTGCTCTTTCAAAGAAGAAACAATGTTTTTTTTATCCTTTAATACCCATGGATTAAATTATTTTTTCAAGAATTATAAAACTGAACGAAAATTTAAATGGATGAAATTTCTTGGTTTAACTTGAAGGAAATACTTCACTCTGATAACATTCTGCTAATGACATAGAATTACATGTATGTTTTTCTTCTGTCACCTCTCCAAGACTTTAATGGTGTTGTCTGTCCAATATGTGAAGATGTATCTAAATATTTGACATTTTGAATTATGCAGCTTCATTTTTTTAAGAATTTATCATGCTAACCCATTTATCAGACTTCCCAAACTATAATACAGCATTTTCTGCTTTTAAGCACTTTATACCTCTGGACTGTTAATGAGGTTATGTTAATGTTATATGTTCATTTTATTATTTTTAATAACATGTTTTGCTATGTATGAAATACGCAGTCTATCACGAAATTTTGTTTAGTTGAATGCAACAAAATCAGTTTTACCATAAACATAAA